CCTGTTATCACTTTGCTTCCTCAAAAGTTAGATGCAATTGAGCAAATAAAAACTGGACTAACATTGTGTGTTTCTTGGTTACCATCTAGTGGACACTCTAAATTAGCAGCAGGTTATGGGGATGGTTAGTTTTTTTGTTTATGTATAAGTTATAAGCATAGTGTATTATGTGTTTTTATGCATTTATATGCATATGCATTAGTGTTGAAATATTTTTTTCATGATCATCATTAATAAATTTTCATTACCTTCACAATTATATGGGCAATAGTTAAAGGGGTCAAATTGTTCTCCAAGATTTTTAGAAATTGGAACCACAGATGTCAATTTCCAGCAAGCAGAAAACAAGATTCAATCAAAAACTTGTTAAATAGTTTAGAGAGAGTTGAAGAGAGTTCTAGAGAATGCTTTTGTAAAACTATGACTGTAATGTTGTTTGGTGATTCAAATGTCTAACAATGGATTAACCTGTTTAACTAGTATGGAAGAAAGAGTATGCCATAAAATTCAAGAGTTGAATTAGAAGAAATATTCTTTGCAGAGTCTAACTTCTCAGATAAGATATGAGATTTAATAATTTGGGAATAATAGAGGTTATGCATCAGCTTTTTTGCATATATTTCTTGCAATAAGAAATTGGTTTTTGTTCTCAAAAGAGTTATTCTTTTGAAAATGATAAAAAAATTGATTATGGTTAGATATAGCAGCTGCACAAGAAAGTGAAAATCATGGAGTAGAATAAGGTTTTATTTGGAACCGGAATGAAGGATTAAAAGCTTCCATTCCTGGCTGGAGGCCCATTTATCAGCCAGGAGAGAAGAGACAACAGGCCAGGGATCCTCATGAAGAAAGTTGTGAAAAGATCATTGCATGGTTGGAACCACTAAGGAGAACAAGGACAAACTGAACACAAGCTAATGTCAGAAACAAGACACAAATCAAGAAGTGAATGTAAGTGATTAGGGTTATCTGAAAAGTAAGTGATAAAGTTGTCTATTTGAGTAAGAGGTTGAGAAATGCAGAAGTTATAGGCTTTAGTGCTAGGTGGTTCAGTGGTGTTAGCTGAGTTGTTCAGTATAATAGGCATTAAAATCACTGATAAAAACTATAAAGAAACTATCAGAAACTTCAATATTACAACAATAATGGCAGATGGGTAAAAAGAAAAGAAATGGTCAAATTTGATCAGAAATCTAAAAGGGAACAGCCATGAGAAGGAGAATGATAAAGAATAAATAGAAAGATGATAAAGTGAAGAAATACTAAACGGAAGCACAAAAAAGAATGGTCCAAGGATTTAAATCTGATTTCTGGACAAATAGATGATTTGATGCGTATGTATACCCCAAGCGAAGCATATGACAATTATGGTCTTTGTTAATCAAAAGATAGTACTCATCAATACTGAGATCTGATGAAGGAACAGCCGAATATAAATTAAATTAACAATAAGCAAGCATGTCTGGTGAATTTAGCTAGAGGTTTTCAACCTCTTGCAGGGAGCCTAGCTCCATCAACAATCCCTGTTGATGAAATCAGGCTCCATCAACAGGAATTGTCTAAGTGTTACCACAGAGTTTGGGACACCTTACTACCAGCCGACCTCAGAATTCTTAAACTAAGTCTAGAGCTGTAGCCTCATTAAAAGACAACAGGAAAATCTAAGAGTATAGTCAAGAAGATTCAGCTTTCATCATCCTAGGCAGGAAACAATGTAACACTAGTTAACATCTATGCCAGCTTAATAAATGTAGAAAGGGTTCGATGCTGGTCAACAGAATTATTCTGCTTACCCTTAAAGTTTTTGCCTAGGGCTTTCTGCAAGACAGTAGAAATCTATAAATAATAAGATTTAATGTAATTAAATATAGACTCATAAAATGTAGATACGATTGAAGGTAATACACTGTCTACATATACATAAGCAACCAAATAAAAAATTCTATTTTTTCAACTTCAGTTACTGAATACAGACTGTATTCAATGCTAGTTATTTGAAAAATTTTTACTCACGCTTTTTTTTTTCAGTTTAATGTCTTATCTTTTAACAATTTTTTCTCTGTTCAAAACATTTAATTAACAAGTCTTTTTCACAGGTTTTTGCTCTTTGAAATTTACTGTTGTGTTTTCTTGATTAAGCATTATAGGTTTTCTGTTATCTTTATTTCTATATATTTTTTGGTTTTCTGTTATCTTTATTTCTATATTTTTTTTTAGGTTTTCTGTTTCTTTATTTCTTATTATTCTCTTTATTTTTATTTTTTAATTGTTTTTAATGTATTAATACAAAAGGTTTTGAGCGAATCTTTTTAGTTTTATTGCAGAAATGTGATAAGCTTTTAAAGTAAAATTTTTTCTTTGTAAAGGTTATCTGATTGTTATTGTTGTAATTATTACTATTGTTATTTTTTTCAATAAACTTTTTTTCAAGGTGGTTTGAGAATATGGGATTTAAAAACATCATCAATATTTCTTAAAACAGACGATCAAGGAAAACCAGGTTTTTTTTCATTTTAATTTTTGTTAAAAATGTTTAGACAATGTAAGAAAAAGTTAACTAGTAAACATATAAATAATAATTATTTTAGATATAACAGTTATAAACATATAAATAATATAATAATAATAAGATAAATTAAAAGTTTATTAATAATATTTACTATTTAATACTAACAATGTTAGTATAAAATGGTAAATTTAGTACTCACATTATATTGATGGGGAAGGGGTTGTCTTATTAGTTGCAAAGAGTGTTGTGGAGTTGTCATGATATTTAAAACAGTACAATGTATTCAGACAGGGACTAGTCAAAATTATTGCATCACTGTTATGTAATTTAACTGAGACTGGTCATGCTAGCTGCAACATTGCTATGTAATTTGACTGTGGCTAGTTTTAATAATTGCATTTAACTATTTAATAGATTGATAGAATACTAATTATTTCAATTTTTATTTTTGTGAAAAGGGCAAGTTAACTTAAATGTGTTAGATCGCAAAGGTTTTATGAAAAGTAAAACAAACTTGCGAATACAAAAGTAATAAATAACATCAACACACAATTTACATATATTGTTTTCTTTTATTATTTCTTTATTGAATCTAATAAAATTTCTTCTAAATTCAGATTGATCTTTTAACTCTTTAGCTTGTTTTATTATTATTTTCAAAGTGGATGTACACTAGTTGATTTGGACCACCAAGTTCTGTTTTGTAATTTGTAAATTGGAGACAGTAGATGTCATAACACCTATATCTTGAAGTCTTGTAGAAAAATGCATAAATTGTTTTTGTGGTCAAGGATTTGTTGTTGTTCTTCTTACTGAAATGCATTGTTTTACACTTTCTTATTTTAAGTTTTATTTTCCATACTTGACACCATTTAGCTAATTTATCTATATCAAATTGTAATTCATTTTTTTGTATCTTAATTTTCTAACATCAGCCTATATTTTTGTTGTGTGGAAAAGTTGATAAAAAAATTGCTTAAGAATATTAAGAATAGAAGTAATTTAAGTACTAAATTAAGCATTACTTCACTGTTACTTTGTTACCAGTTTGAACAGGTTTCATGAAGCACCTAGTACATGTACATGTTTTTGCTTGTTAAAGTTTGCAACTATGTTTAACTTGTAAATTTAAAAAAGCAAGTTAGTAATTGTGTATCTTCTAGAATATTTTCTAGTACTGTTGCTTTTCTGCCAGTTGATGAAATAGGAACTGTAATGTTTGCATATATGTAGTGCTTCCAATACCGGTAGTACCGATACCGGTTTACCGGTAATACCGGACTTTTTCAAGTACCGGTATTAAAAGTATATGTAGAGGGCTTATGATATAGCAGATAGGAAAGCCCTCTTTTTGCGAAATACAAAATTAAATGATATTTAAAACTTTCCGTTGCAATAAACAACGCTCCTGGTGGGATAAAGATAGCTAAATGACAAAAAATGTGTTTAAATCGTGTAAAACACGTATTACAAACTATGTTACTTTTTAAACGCGTCTTTTATTTATAGGTAGCAACTAGCTAGATATTCGCTGGCTAGTCGCTAGCTCATTTCCCACCAGGCTTGTTCATCTTGTAATGAGAGTATAAAATCAGGCTCGCTAAAGAGTTTAAAATGGAGAAAATAATAAGTTGTTTAATTGAATTTTTATAAAAAAAATTATTGTTAAAATTATTTAGTTAAAGGTAAAACTTGTTTAATTTCAAAGTAAAATTTTGTCTTCCTTCTATTAATAAAGCACTGATTTAAATATTATCATTATGTCACTTGCTTTAATGTAGATCTCATGTTTAAGTTTTGCATTAACGTGAATATGAAAAGTTTGAAGTCGTTACGGTTGAAAACATTTTTAATTTAGTAAAAATGTCAAGATGATAGATTATTAATCGTTTTTCATAGTGTAACTTATAAATGTAAAGTTATTGAATTAAAAGCAATTATAGTTATGCTTACTTAACTTTATGCATTTTGAATTAAGAACTAAAAATCAAGATTTTTTATCTAGTAGATAGAATTACCTTAATATCCAGAAAAACATAAAACATCCTAAAAAGTATTCAAACCGTTCAGCACTGGACGAGTTGATGAAAGTTCTGCGTGGTTTTACTTTCTGCTTGATAAAGAAAACTTGCAATGTGTAAGAAGTGCATAAAAGATAAAATCAAATGGTGGAGTACCAGTGTACTGAATACACATCTAAAAACTAAACATAAAATTGACTTGCTGAATAGAAAATTGTCCCAAGATGCAGCATCATCATCGGGTTTTTTTTATTGGTACCATTATCAACGGACAAAAAATCCAAACCTCTGATCACCGATTTCTTACAAAATCAACGCGACAATTTGTTGTTTTCAGTTTTTCTAGATTGAACACCCTTTATGTTGGAATCCTGGATTAGCAAGAGTTGTTGGTTTGTTCAAAATGCTGCTGAAAAATGCATTGATTTAGTTCAAAAATTGTTGACATTTTATGTTGAATTAAAGCGTAAATTTTCAGCGAGTGGCAACATTATCACAAAATTAGACCATCAATTGGGGATGATACTCTTGACGTCCTCTTTTTTTTACAGGCTCATTTTACAAAGGAGAAAAAAGCAAAAAATGAAAAAGTTAGTTATTTTGATATAAAATAAATAAGCTTATTGAATCAATGAATTTTACTATTAACTTGAGATTTTATTCATATAATGGTAAATTAAAAAAAAAGTTTAATACCGGTATAATACTGTTATTACCGGTATTGAAATTATTAAGTACCGAAAAACCGGTACTAAAATATGGTATCGGTATTGGAAGCACTACATATATGTATATGTTTATTTATATCTATTTATAATTATATAGTTTATTCCCGGTAAGTCAAACACCAGTTAACTTAAACTTTTGTTGTTTCAAACTGTTTTAATTGGTCCCTTGAAATTCTTTAAGTGATTACTGTTAATATTCTATTAAAGGGATTTCAAAGAGCAAAGACAAGTTGTGTTTATGTTAAAAAGAATGATAAAAAAAATGTTTGAGCTGAATTTTTTTGAATAAAACAAAATAATAAACGTATACAAAATAAACTAACTTTGTTGTTTTACTCGAAGCAATTGTATTGTGTTTGAAACATATTCATGCCTTATTTTAGAATGGTGACCCTGATTAAATGGTGACCATGAGACAAAGAGTTTATAAATTTTGGTGGATATATATCCCAATTCGAATTGTTCACGCAACTATCAAAACCAATAACGTAATAATATAACTAAATGCAGCTTTTTACGTATAACTTAGTGAAGCCAGTTTCCATTATTTTGCAATTTTTCAATAAGAAATCTAATAATTATTTTTTTCATTAAGTTATAAATTTTTTTTTTTTTCATTATAGATAACTAAAGAATTTGTTTAGTTATTTTATTTTCTAAATCTAGCGAAGTTCACATTAAAAATATGAATAAAATCATTCAAATATTTTAGGCTTGTCTATTGCTATAAATTAATTTGATGTTATATTTATTGTTATGAAATAATTATTATCATTATTAAGATTCTGTTAAAAAAATTATATTGTATTATTTAACCTTATGAAAGCTTAATTAACAGCATTTATTGCTGACCTTTTCATCTGGTACAAATATTCTTGAAATTCTTATTTAATCTTGAATATATTTAACAAAATTTATTCTGTAAAATATTTTTCGTTTGCATTTGGTATTTTCAATTATTTTGTTTTTTCTTGTTGTTTTTTTGTGAATTTCTTTGCCATAAAGAGCAGTAATAAAATCTTTTAAAATCATATTCTTGTTATACAATATTAATATATGTTAAATTTGATAAAGAATGGTGCATATAAACTTTTTTGTTTTAAATATATTTTGATATAATTATAAATTTGCAATATTTCACTGACCTATTGCGGTCAGCATCATCAGGTGTAATAAAAAACGTTACAAAAATTGTTACAAAATTACCTAAATCAAACTGTCAAAAAAAGAAAGAAGACATTACAGGCGTAAAATAAAAATAGTTTTTATTAAATAGCATAATGGCGTCAGTTAAAATCTACATCTGTAAAACATGTATTGCTATTTTATTTTTAAAATTGAACAATAATTGGTCAAGATAGCAAAAAAGTGTAACATTATCGAGTCAATTTTAAAATTGATATCATTAATAAAAAACTTTTTATTGTCAATTTTAGTTGTTTTTTGATTTGCAATTTTAAGAGTCAGGTTTTAATGTAAAATACTTGCCAAATATGGCATATATATTGGGAAATAATAAATAAAATATGTTTTTTAACACGTGCTGCAACACATTGACAATTTTAATTGCCATCTGTCTTGAATTGTTGACATAAAACATTAGTTATTGCTTTAATTAATAAAAAGCTCTCTGTAAATTTTTTAAGTGTAAAATCTATAAATACTTTTCAAAAATTAACGAATTTGGCAAATATCTCTAATAAATATTGTTGTTTAACAAAATTATATATTATTTAAAATTTTTGAATTTGTAAAATGTAAATGTTCATTAGGAGAACAAAAAGGTCATAGCATTAAACGGCTTAGATGAACTAGAAAAAAAGTTCACATTGTTTACAATGTCTTTTTTATATTCTTTTTTATATTGTTAAATATAATATTTTTTATATTATTATATTTAAAAGTGTATCAAAAAATGCTTAATTTTATTTCTCGTGCATTATGAAAAAAACTTTTGTTTTATTTCTCGTGCACTATGAAAAAAACATTATTTTGTTTAGCTGCGTATAAATTTATTTCTCATGCACTATGAAAAAAATATTCTTTTGTTTTGCTGCGTATAAATTTTATTTCTCATGCACTATGAAAAAAACATTCTTTTGTTTAGCTGCATATAAATTTTAATAATAACATTTATAGGAAAGTCATAATAGTCAGTCACCATTAATGATAAATGCTTATTTAAAAAAACAAATAAAACAAAAGCAAATATTATTGATCCAAAAAAAAAAAAAAAAATCCT